CTAGACATTTTTTACACTTAATTCACACAGGTGGACTTTATTTAACTAATGATTTGACTTCTGAAGGTAATTGGTTGCACCAGATCTTATTTAGGGGCTTCATAGCAAAGGGGATAAATACATATGCACCGACCACTTTTCCGTTATTTATTTTTTTGAATTATTTGAAACAAGTAATATTTTTAATTTCACTTCACAAATGTGGACTATTTTGTGTATGTCCATTACATGAAATCCAAATAAAAATTCATTTAAATTACAGGTTGTAATGCAACAAAATAGGAAACACGCCAAGGGGTATGAATACTTTTGCAAGGCACTGTACAACTCGGTTACTTCTGTAAATAAATACAGTCAAGAACAGAGAACTGCTTCAGTACTTTATTTACCAGAAGATGGCGCTATTGTGACGCACTGTAAGTATCTGAAGAAAACGGTTGCAACTGTTAATGAACTCTGATAGTGACATAATGGAAAGCAGTAGTCATCAGGTGAATGTTTCTTACCACAGGTGGTGTAGGTGCTATACTAAGTTTGCTATACTAAGTTTGACCCAGTCCATTTCATTTTAAAGACATCCTCCATAGATTTTTGAACTTTTCAATATAGTATCAATATAGTAAAGTACACACACCCAAGGGTAAAAAAGTTCTGAGCAAAATAGTGTTTTTTAGACACAACTGCAAACTTCAAGAATTACGGCATTCAAGGAGTTGGTCTGATGGTCAGCTTCCCCCTTGCTTGACGCACAGTAGAGGAGCAATAGAGAACCCAAGAGGAAAGCCCCCCCCCTCCCCCTCCCCCTCCCCTCCCACCCACACAACTCAGAATGGATTACAATACAACTGTTAAGTGTAGCTCAGTTGGCAGAGCATGGCGCTTGCAACGCCAGGGTTGTGGGTTTAATTCCCATAGGGGGACAAGTATGAAAATATATGCACTGGATAAGAGTGTCTGCTACATGACTAAAATGTAAAAGTGTGAGAAGTTACATTTTTAACTGAACATAAATTTGAAGCTCATTACAGCACCTATAGCTATAATATACTGTAACCCACTAGCCCTCATCATGAGTCTCAGATAACAGATATGAATACAGTTTTTCTCAATTGCTAAAACACTAAACCCTATTGTCTGAACCAAATGCTCAGTTGCCTGAACCCACTGATTGAATCAATCACTCTTTTGGCAAAACCATAAGCACTTTTCACCTGTTTAGACACAACTTGCCAACACATTTTCATTGTGATGCACCCGTGCTGCATAATGGTGAGCACATGTGACAAAAGTCAAACACAATTAGAGCACAGGTATCACCACTTGAACACAACAACTCAAAATTGATCACACTTGTGGCTAATGATGTGAGGGAACATATACAGTAAGCCAGTTCAGAGAGCACTGGTTTGTGAGGCCCTACAATGGATAGAAATCTGAGAGGAAGAGTTCGTGTGAGAGGAGGTCGAGGTGGTCGAGGTGGTCAGCGAAGACAAAGAACAGTAATATCTGATGAAATCAGAGCTACTGTGATTGACCATGTTCTTGTCCATGGTATGAGCATGAGGGAGGCTGGACAAAGGGTACAACCAAACATCAGTAGATTCACTGTGTCCACCATAATCCGAAGATTTAGAGAAGAGAACAGGTAATTACCTTTTTTTTTGACATTATAGTACAGTATGTAAATGTTGACAGCAATTACTGTATGACATACTATATACTGTACCACAGTATACTGTAAGTGAATATATGTTTCAGTACATCACTGTACCAATGTACTGTAGTATTGTAATGGAGGGTTGGTCTAACTGTTTGTAGGCCTAGTATTCCATGTATATTTTTTGTAACTCCATGTTCTCTTTTTGTAGAATTGAAAGACTGCCACATGGGGGGTGGGAGGACAGGTATGTTCTCCCCACACCAAGAGACCCTAATTGTTGATATGGTCCGTAAGAAAAATGCCATTAAACTGAGCGAAATTCAGCAGAAGATCATTGAGGACCATTTACATTTTGAGGGTATCAACAGTGTCAGCCTCTCTACTGTTGATCGTGTCCTCAAGCGCAACAGACTGCGCATGAAACAGCTATACAGAGTGCCCTTTGATCGCAACTCAGACAGAGTCAAAGAGCAAAGATTCCAGTATGTACAGGTTGGCATATATCCAGACACATTCAATGTTGATTACTCTAAGTAGTGATTTACTGTAGTGGCCTAAATCACTTTTTCCGTATCACTTACAAAACTATATCTATTTCTACAGAGGGTTTTTCAACTGGATGCAATGGAAAGACCCCATCAATACATCTACATGGATGAAGCTGGGTTTAATCTCACCAAAAGGAGAAGGAGAGGCCGTAATGTGATTGGCCATCGGGCCATTGTTGGTGTTCCTGGGCAGCGTGGTGGCAATGTTACATTATGTGCTGCCATCAGCAATCATGGGGTTGTCCACCATCATGCCAACCTGGGGCCCTACAACACTCACCAGCTCCTCATTTTCCTCAATCACATGCGAGATGCTTTGTTAGGGCAGCAGGATGAGCATCCCATCTATGTTGTTGTTTGGGACAATGTGAGTTTTCACAGAGCCCTCCAGGTTAGAGAGTGGTACAATATGAACCAAGGTTTTATCAGTCTTTGCCTTCCACCGTACTCCCCTTTCCTAAACACCATTGAGGAATTCTTCTCCTCATGGCGGTGGAAGGTATATGAACGCCAACCTTACACCAGGGTAAATATCCTGCAAGCCATGGGACTTGCCTGTGGTGACATAGGTGTGGAGGCATGCCAAGCCTGGATACGGCATGCCAGGGGTTTTTTTCCCCCGTTGCCTGGCCAGACAAAATGTGGCCTGTGATGTGGATGAAGTCCTGTGGCCTGACCCAGTACGGAGACATGATGCTGTGGCTGAGTAATGCACTTATTTGTATATTTTTTGTACTTTATTTTTACATGGGCTTACTGTACACAAGTGGCAAACGCATAAGATTTCTGTTTGTTTTTACAAGTGCTACATGTAAATGCACAATATTTCTGTTTTGTCTTTTTGTACAAGTGCTAAATGCACAGTTTTTTTTTGTTTTGCAACATGCATTTAGCCTACAGTGAACAATAAACATTTATTTCTCCAGCTTCATGTCCTGAGCATTGTGTTTTCTATTTTTTCTACGTAGTGTTTAGTGACTGTTCAGTAGTGTTTTTTATTTTGATTGACTCGGGGCACGATTTGACAACATAGTTCAGTTTTTGAGCACAGATTGAACTGTTTTGAGGTGAAAGTTTTGGTTTTGCAAGAAGAGTCTGAGGTTTTGTGAATGTAGCTTGAAAATTGGGTTTTGTGTTCACAGTTAAGAGAAAAGGAGAGCCTGCTTCAAGAAATGTGTCTTAAGCAATCGGGAAAAACTGTAAATCAATTGAATGAGCAGAGTCCTCCAATGGTACCCCTTGCAGAGACACAGAATAAAAATACATACACGTGTGTTGGCCTATGATGTGTGAGGGAGAGGAAACAGCTCAAAAGTAGAAGCAACAGACAAGAGAGCTATGGTAGGTAGGCTTATATGTAGGAGGGCAGGAAGTGGAAAAACCCTATAGATGCAGAGAAGAGAGAGAGAGAGAGAGAGAGAGAGAGAGAGAGAGAGAGAGAGAGAAAGAGAGAGAGATAGATGCGATGAGATATAGAGATCTCTCGCGTACTATCAGCGAGAGGAGTAGAGGGAGGATAGAAGCATATGTCAATGTCACCACTCAACTCACATGTGTATACACAGACGGTTTGCTCTAACTGAGTGACATGGGCATGACCTGTCTTGAGAGCTCATTAAACGTTGCATCTTTGCCCTGATGGACCCACCTTGTTCTGACCACATCCTCCTGGTCCTCTGTCTCCTCTTCCTGGTCTGCATCCATGGCAACGCTCAAGGTAAGATGTTTCACATCTTGTCACACATTAGTTTTGTGTTACATTTGAAAGGGATTGATATTTTTTAATTTTGGCAATTTACTTAAACTTTCCTTGAACAATATGCTACGTACAGTGCATTCGGAAAGTATTCAGACTGCTTGACTTTTTCCACATTTTGTTACATTACAGCCTTATTCTAAAATGGATTAAATAACAAATGTTTCTCATCAATACCCCATCATGACAAAGCGAAAACAGGTTTTTAGAATTTTTTGCAAATGTATTAAAAATAAAAAACATAAATAACTTATTTACATAAGTATTCAGACCCTTTGCTCTGAGACTCGAAATTGAGCACAGGTGCATCCTGTTTCCATTGATCATCCTTGAGATGTTTCTACAACTTGATTGGAGTCCACCTGTGGTAAATTCAATTTATTGAACATAATTTGGAAAAGCACACACCTGTCTATATAAGGTCCCACAGTTGACAGTGAATGTCAGAGCAAAAACCAAGCCATGAAGTCGAAGGAATTGTCCGTAGAGCTCTGAAACAGGATTGTGTCGAGGCACAGATCTACGGAAGGGTACCAAAACCTGTCTGCAGCATTGAAGGTCCCCAAGAACACAGTGGCCTCCATCATTCTTAAATGGAAGAAGTTTGGAACCACCAAGACTCTTCCTTGAGCTGGCCGCCCGACCAAACTGAGCAATCGGGGGAGAAGGGCCTTGGTCAGGGAGTTGACCAAGAACCCAATGGTCACTCTGACAGAGCTCCATAGTTCCTCTGTGGAGATGAGAGAACCTTCCAGTAGGACAACCGTCTTTGCAGCACTCCACCAATCAGGCCTTTATGGTAGAGTGGCCAGACGGAAGCCACTCCTCAGTAAAAGGCACATGACAGCCCGCTTAGAGTTAGCCAAAAGGCACCTGAAGAACTCTCAGACCATGAGAAACAAGATTCTCTGGTTTGATGAAACCAAGATTGAACTCTTTGGCCTGAATGCCAAGTGTCACGTCTGGAGGAAACCTGGCACCATCCCTACGGTGAAGCATGGTGGTGGCAGCATCATGCTGTGGGGATGTTTTTCAGCGGAAGGACTGGGAGACTAGTCAGGATCGAGGGAAAGATGAACGGAGCAAATTACAGAGAGATCCTTGATGAAAACCTGCTCCAGAGCGCTCAGGACCTCAGACTGGGGCGAAGGTTCACCTTCCAACAGGACAACGACCCTAAGCACACAGCCAAGACAACGCAGGAGTGGCTTCGGGACAAGTCTCTGAATGTCCTTGAGTGGCCCAGCCAGAGCCCGGACTTGAACCTGATCGAACATCTCTGGAGAGACCTGAAAATAGCTGTGCAGCGATGCTCCCCATCCAACCTGACAGACCTTGAGAGGATCTGCAGAGAAGAATGGGAGGAACTCGCCAAATACAGATGTGCCAAGCTTGTAGCGTCATACCCAATTAGACACAAGGCTGTAATCACTGCCAAAGGTGCTTCAACAAAGTACTGAGTAAAGGGTCTGAATACTTATGTAAATGTGATATTTCAGTTTTTTAATATTTTATAAATATGCAAACATTTCTAAAAAATAGTTTTTGCTTAGTCATTATGGGGTATTATGTGTAGATTAATGAGGAAAAAAAACAATTTAATCAATTTTAGAATAAGGCTGTAACGTAACAAAATGTGGAGAAATTCAAGGGGTCTGAATACTTTCCGAACGCACTGTATATGATCAACAAAAGTCAGTCAGAGAGGGGTGATGGACAGTGTCAAAGTGTAACTTCTCAACCGCAATTTGAATATGACAGGTCTTCACGTTTTCATTTATGTTTTACCAGTGACCAGTATGATCCCTATCAGTAGTAATTTTGTAAATTGATTCCATGATCTTTTCTCACACCAAGGCCCATGTGAAATTGAGGTGCAAATCAAAAGAAACACTGTTTGGAATGCTGTCCCTCAGAAACGGCTGACAATCAACTGCCCTGTGAAACATTGTGGTGAAACCTTACGTGTCACCTGGTGTAAATTTGAGGACGCCAACTGCAAACAAATACATGAGACAGAGCAAGTCAAAATTGGATGGAAACCATTTGATAGATGGTCAGAAGATCGTATTGCATTTTTGGATTTTAAGAATATATCTATCAATGACAATGGTTCGTACAGATGTGGAATGGCTGGCAATAAATCATCAATTATTAGCCATGCTATCAATGTCTCTGTCTCAGGTAACCAAGCAAAGCTTATTTTTGTTCTCAATTAATTGTTTTAAAATGAATAAAATAGATACTCAGTTGAGTCATTGTTGTTTGACACACTTATTTCTATAGATAGCAACCTGAAAATGACAAGCACAACAGACCACAACACAAGTAGGACAATGTTTTATGAAATTACAGACATTCAATCACATTACATCAGCTAGTAGGCCTATATGACAACTGTGTATGGTGTTAAGACCTCTGTTTCTACTCTAACAGACGACTCACCAAATGCAAAGCTTGATGAGAAATATCTGAGCTGGAAACCGTATGTTTACATCTGTGTGGGAATAGTACTGCTGGTGGTCATGGTGACAGCAATCTCCTTCCTCTGTCTTTATGGATGTAAAGGTGAGTAATGCTGTTACCCATTTAAAACTGTAGAAACAAAGAGAGTCGCACACTCCATATGTATATTGGGTAAAAAAACCACCAACGTTTCGGCATCACTGTGTTTTTTTTACCCAATAAATGACTGGGAGGTTATAGATATGGAGTGTGCAACTCTCTTTGTTTTTATAGCTTATAGTTTATTCACCGTTAGTCAGCACCTCTACAGTACACTAAATCATTTTCTCTGGATGTGCGTCAGCTCATGTTTTTTATTAGACCCATTTAATACTGAAAACTTTTATTTTGTACAAGGTTGAAATACAGCAAACATGTCACTTTAACTTTCTACAACATACACATTTTTTCAGGATCTACAAGGTCAACAAATAACAGGATAATGGAGCAGGTAAGGAAATCTTATAGCATCTTACTATTAACCAATGGGTAATTTGCTACCATGACAAAACTGGTCCTCAATACACTAAACTTGTACAAAATAGAAGCCTTGTTGTCCTGACTTTGTCGAACTGTTTTTCTCTGTGTTTAATGGAAATGTCCACACAGGCAGAACCATGTCCAGACCTCTCCTCCTGCTCTAAGGGAACCTTTCCATCATCACCTTCCACACCAAACCCTGCCCAGTCCAACAATTTCTACAACAATGGTCCCTATGGCAAAAGCTTAAACAGGGAATCGCCACACAGCCTCCTGGTGACAAACGGAGCTTTGCCTTCCTCTGACCTCACAGCTGGAGGTCAAGGGTCAAACTACCTTGTGTACGCTGCCCTGAACCACCAGACCCCTAGAGGGTCCCCGAAACCCCCCCATATCCCAACCCCCCAGGATGAATGCTCAGAGTACGCAGCCATCCGGGTCTACTGAGCCGACAGGTTCTGAAAGAGACCTCAACCAGACCATAACGGCACAGTGCTGCTAACTGTTTTACTGTTTAAGTTGTCTTCTTTGATGGCTCTTCTCACTGAAAAAGAGGAAAGCTGAACATATTTTGTGGATGAAAATGTTACTCCTTGGGGGGGATTCATGTTTTTTATTTTATTTAACTCACACACACTCTATGACACACTCTTCCTGGTGTCATGGAAACGGTGAGCAGTGTGTTAACCGCAGTACAGCAGTGTTCCAGAGAATAAAATGTGATTTAAAGATGGGGGTGGTAGGGGGATAGGGGTGAGACATGTGAGCAAGGGTTAGAGCTAGAGAATATGTGCTTCTGAGTGTGAACCCTCCTTCACATCAGACCTCAGAGTTAGAATAGCAAAATAACGTCCGCTAGCAGTGTGAATCACAAAGGTGACAATAACTCTGTTTTCAAATGATCTCACACATAATGATGGTAAAGCATAATTTGTTATTGACTATCAAAATATATATGCTAATGAAGAAACCACTGAACCACTTTGGTGATTATTAGTGATGATTTTGGGATATAACAGGGAAAAATATCTCATACCGAACATTGAATGTCCCTGTGTGTGATTAAGTGTGTGTGCCTGTGTCTATATGTCTGCATATGACTCACTCAGTATGAGTGAGTGAGTGTGTGTTGGTGTATGTATATGCACAAATGCACGTGTTTGTACGCATGCTGGCTACAGGTTGGGGGCTTTCCATGGTTTATGTAAAATGTTGAGCCCACCATATAGCCGAAACTGTGAGTCTCTGTAAATAGATGTTCTCCCTCTTGAGAGAGTATGGAAGTTCCATTTAAATGTAACATGAATGTAATGTGAAAGTGCATATGACTGTCTCTAAGTTTATATGAAGATAGAGGTAATAGTTTGCATAACTGCAAAATGATGTTGGTGTGGCATGATTGTAATAGTGACACATACAGTGACAAATTCCAGTCTCAGTTACTGTCAATTAATTTCAAACATGTTCGTTTGAAACCTCAAAATAAAAAATTCTGCACGTTTTTTACAATACAATTACAATACAGTATCCTTCACCAGAGAATAGTGCCAGAGAAATGTCCCTCATTTTATCAAGAAATTGCGACATAGACTATTATTACCATTTGAAGCAAGAGTGGCTAGTTTTTTTAAAATGTGAAATAAAGCTTGGGTCTAATGTCTTTGGTTCCTACACTGCTTCTGCATGTGTTCTGGTAAAACCCTAAGCGAGTGGTTACTGTAAAGTACTGGGGTGTTCTTTCTGCCCCAGATACAGACCCTAACCTGCACAGGACTGGGTGTTTCTGGTTCAAAACACAGTGCACAGGAAGTGCAAGGAACAGACCACCACCACACCAAGATGGTAACTCACTACTCAGAGAAATGGTGTAGCTTACTTTCATGGAGCTGCCACATCTATTAGCCTAATCTCAGAATAGGTCCAATACAATACTTATCAGTGTAACGGCTTAAACAGTTTATTCATCTATAATATAATCATTTTTTGAGAGCAGACAACTGACTGATAGGTTTTACTGTAAGCCATTGCCTGCCACCATGTGGACATATTGGTTATTACAGCATAAGGCTCCACAATCATAATTTAGTTAGATAAAAACAAGGACATTAGGACATGCTGAGACATGAGGACATACATTATACAATAAGGGGGTTTCTATTATAGTGTATCAAAAAGGCCATGATCAAAGGGTTAATGACTCTCCCTTTAGATTGGGCTAAATGGAATTTATCCTCCCACTGTGGGCGTATGTCAGTCACTGCCCTCTGACCTTTGTCCTTGTAACACACGCACACATAAAATTGGCCCATGCTCTCATATCTGCCTGTTGGTCTTATCTGCAGGCCTGGACACACTAGTGGCTGTGTGTGTTTTATTTAGTGGACAAAGCCCTCGTTCAGCAACCAGAGGGATGGAGAGAGCGCGCCATCGGAGGGATGGAGGGAGGGGTGGTAGATGGGGGTGGTTGGAGAGACATGGCAGACTGGAACCGGACTGAAGTCATTCAGAACCTGTGTGACTTCATCCCACTACATTCTGAGAAACGGTATGACAGAGCAGAAAAGGTGCGTAGGAGCGGTATGACTGTGGGTTTGGTACAAAATCAACCCAAGCAGCACACTAGACTCAATCTCTTAGGATCAGGGAAACTGGTTGTGTCACTGGAGGCCAGTGCAGCATAATGAAGTTTGGGAGGAAAACATGAGAATCGTGGCAGATTCCAAACCTTATACTGGTGGAGCAAGTATCCAATCTTTTTGTGTCTACAATGAGCCTGTGAAAATTGTAACAGGTGATTTACTACTTTTTTAGTTTGATTTAGACACACAATCACATTCCCAGTCGTGCTAGAGGCTCTATTACAAACTGTGAAAGAAAATTGGGATCTGATCTCTGATAAAACATTTTCTGACAATAATCTGTTCTACTGCATCCCAAGCCCAGACAACACACAGAGGGCGCAGAACTAAGAAACACTCCAACCCGCCTTCGCTGTAGAACTGGCCTTACAGATTGATGCTGGATGATTTGTAGCTGTGTGTGTGTTCAAGAAAGCTCCGTGCCCCTCTCAAACCCCATGGCTCAGGATAAACAGACTTGGAACAAAGTGCATATGGAAGCCAGATCTGTACAAACAACAGCCAAGAGGAGAATACCTCCACCTTTTCCCCTTTCTCTAAAGTTAATGCAGGTGTACAGAGACTGCACCCAGAATTCCATTCCTGAGGCGCAAACTCAAAAACCTCCAGAAAATGTGTCAACCTTACATTTTCCATATAAAGTGCAAATATATTCAATAAGCAATAATACACTACACCTTTTTCTAATTTCTTTATTTTACATTTCATGACATCATACATTTTCAAGCGACAGCATTGTCCTTCATACAGGGGGCTGTGTTAACCTTTAATGTGGTTAGTGGCATTTCTGCATGTGAAGTGACTGACATTATGAAAAGCACGTTATCTGGTATGACAGCCCTCCACACACATATTCGGTGCTTACATCCCGGATCACAGCAGTCAATATACAGAGTAGAAATAAACATCTGATCAAGTAGTGATGTGTATAATGATGCAATCAGAGAAATACCAGACGATGCAATATGATAGCAAACCATGACAGTTTTTTCCTAAAAAGGCAATCAACCTTGACTGCTTTATGTCCTATGCTTATACAAATGAATAAAATAAGGTCAGCATTTAATGACAACCCCCCCCCCCACACACACACACACACACACATATAAAACACACACACACACACCCTAGCAGTAATGGCAGCCAACCAGCCAAACTCTCTTCATAATGAATTCCTCTGAAGGCGCCCACAGTATCTCACCATGGCATATTCTACTGGGAATCACATCAAACCATCTGACCATGGAATCTGAAAACACACACACATAGGCACGTACACACGCTGACATTGTTACTCATAACCACAATTATTCATCCTCAATGGCATCAATAAGATAATTTTATAAAATAATTATATCTGACCATAGAGTCAACCACACTCTCTCCAACCCTACTACAGTTCTGAGTAAGAGGTCTACAGTATGTCTGAGACCTGGGCCTGGATTCACAAAACCATCTTTAAAATAAAATCTATTCTTACGTGCAATTTTATCCTTAACTTTATACTTAAGAAACGTACGAAAAGTTGCTATTCCTCATTAAAGTTCTTGAAAATGCTCTTAAGTTTTTTCCTATGTTTCTTCCTAAGAAAATTGTTTAAAAGAATTAGAGTTGAAAATAAAGTTACTGGATTTCTTCTTGGAATGTTCTTAATTCCAGATAAGCTTAAGCCCTTGCTTAAAAAAACACTGGAGTGAGAAAATAAGCTAATGAAAGAAATTGAACATGTTTAATTGACTCAAACTTCATCTAAATCAGTCAATGAAACATGTTCAATTTCTTTCATTAGCTTATTTTCTCACTTCCATGTGTTTAAGACAAGGGTTTAGCTATCTTGGAATTAAGAACATTTCCAAGAAGAAATCCAGTAACTTTATTTTCAACTCTAATTTCTTTTAAACAATTTTCTTAGGAAGAAACAATAGGAAGAAACTTAAGAGCATTTTCAAGAACTTAATTGAGGAATAGCAACTTTTCGTATATTAAATGTTTCAGGGTTGATTGTTTTAAATCCCCCCCACCAAACAAATTGACCAGTAATCTCAGTAAGAAATATGCTAACAGGATTGCCCTTGCTAGCTAGATAGCGAGCTAGCTCAGCTGCTTAGTGACAATAATCTTAAAAAGGTAGTTACGTTTGTAAGAAGATATTTGAGAAGTTCGTAAGAAAAGCCTGAATTCTTAAGACATTTTTGAGGAATTGCACTTACTTACTATCTCATGAACTTATTTTTTTTCTGAAGATACTTCTTAAGTTTTTGCATAAGAAGTGTTTTGTGAATCTGGGCCCTGGGGTTGAACCCTTACAGATAGCTTTATCATAGCCTATGAGGTTCAGGAAAGAAAGCACGCTTAGCTAAATACTGTCAGTTGTATATACACATTATGTACACAAAATCGTCAAATCAATTGGCAAAGCAGGTTGTCCCCTTCAACATTAAGAGTAGAATCAAAACAGAGTGCATTCTGGGGGATTCAAACAGGGTAGGTCTTCCACAGGAGCTGTGTTGCAGTGGTCTAAAGTGGGACTTTGAAGTGGAAAATCCCAAACAATAACTCTATTCATCTGCATTCAGTGTATCACAAGACATTAGGATCACTGAATACCATAGTAGACTAAGGTATTTTCACTTAATTCAGTTTTCCTACAACCTAGGTCCATTAGGTCATGAGAACCACATTAATCTTGGGAACATAGAATGGCACAAAGAAACCAAGGCAGTTACAAGAACAAAATTCTCTGTCAGCATCACACTTCATAATATATATGAATGCCAATTGGGGTTACCAGAGGACAAGATTAGGTTCAGATCTGTTAGGATGTGTTGTGATCATACTGGCCAGTATTCACAAATAGTCTCAGAGTAGGTGTGCAGATCTAGGATCAGGTCTCCTCAGTCAATATAATCTTATTCATTATGATCTAAAAGGGAAATCTGATCGCATATCAGCACTCCTACTCTGAAACACTTCAAACTCGTGAATACGAGCCATTGTGACTAAACAAAAGATCTTGTGTTGATGGATTCAGTTTCTCTGGGACCCTGTGATGTTGGTCATGACAGATTGTATTCTGTGCCCTCTTGAGGTGGGCCTTGCTTCACTTCTGAAAGTGCAGTAGAATGTTGAGGAACAGTCTCTGATTGGCTGAGTTTCACTTCCTTCTTTTAGACTCCGTCTGTGCAGAGGAGAGAGAGAGGGTGAAAGAGAGAGAAAAAGAGACAGATACAATACACTAAAGCAAATAGACCAAAATGACATTCTATAATAACGGTTACTGTAATGAACAAGGTCAGATAGAAGTCAGCGCTGGGTCATAGGGTTCAGATGGTCAGTGTGTGATAGACGCTCCAGAATGCAGTGAGACCAACCAGGCATATAATGAAGTTTCCACTTCAGGGCTATGACTGCTTCTGAAAGTGCGTTAACCAGTATCTAGGAAACACACAGACAATCAAAACATAACGCAAATTCTCCCCTCTAATTTCCTGGCACTGTGTGAGGACTCCGGGAAGATTTCGGAGACTAAATCTGTCTCGTTTTAGGATCAGAATATTGTGCTCTATTAAACTTGTTATACTGCGTTAAACCCATCTAAACCTGGCTGGCAGTCTGACCATGGTTCTCCACCACAAATGTCTGTCTTATACTTGTACCCACTGTTATTTGTTATTATCCCATACGATCCTTTGTGTATAATATCTCAATTCTCCATAGAGACATAGCAATGCTAAAACCAGTGATGAAACAGGAGGTTAATTTAGTTTACCCCATAGTCCACACAGAAAGAGGCCAAAGTTAGGGCAGCAAGTACAGTACAGGTGTTCTTTGGTATTTTATTAGGATCCCCATTAGCTGTTGCGAAAGCAGAAGCTACTCCTTCTGGGGTCCACACAAAACATGACATAATACAGAACATTGATTAACAAGAACAGCTCAAGGACAGACCTACATCAATAAAAAAATGGCACACAGCCTACATATCAACACATACACACAAAATATGTAGGTCAAATATGGGAGAGGCGTTGTGCCATGAGATGTTGTTTTATCTGTTTTTTTAACCAGGCCTGCTGTTCATTTGAGCAATATGAGATGGAAGGAGTTCCATGCAATAATGTTGAATTTGTTCTGGACTTGGGGACTGTGAAAAGACCCCTGGTGGGGTAAGTGTGTATGTCAGAGCTGTGTTTAAGTTTGGAATTTTCAACACATTAATGTTTCTTATAAAAATAAGAAGAGATGCAGTCAGTCTCTCCTCAACTCTTAGCCAAGATAGACTGGCATTCATAGTATTTATATTAGCCCTCTGATTACAATGAAGAGCAAGACGTGCCACTCTGTTCTGGGCCAGCTGCAGCTTAACTAGGTCTTTCTTTGCAGCACTTGACCACATGTCAGTACAATAATCAAGATACATCTAAACTAGAGCCTGCAGGACTTTTTGGAGTGTTGTGTCAAAAAAGCAGGATGTCTCTTTATTATTGGCATAAAGTGCATTCGGAAAGTATTCAGACCCCTTGATTTTTTCCACATTTTTTTTACTTATTCTAAAATGTATTGTGATGGAACGTTTTATGTTTGTGCTTTTCTATTTACCAATTTCTATGTTCTATGTTTGTGCATTTCTATAAACCAATTTCTGTGTTCATGCAAGTGACTGATTGAACGAATCCTCACTATCAGTATCTGCAATTTGGCAGTATGCCCACAACCTTGTTTAGAGAAAGGGATATCTCAGTTTCAAGGTCTCAGCTTAGAGAGAAGAAACCTCGTGAGGTATTGGTCTGTCACATGCCTGACCCAGTATTGGTCGTCACATGAATGAAGCAAACATTAATTATGAATGATGAATAAGCTAAATCATGCAAATATAACTTGTCAGTATATAAGGGAACTAACGGGACTGCCCCATTAGAGCTCCTAACAGAAGTTCACTATGGTGTGTCAAGTTTGTTGGTCACCTCTCCAGCGCTGACAATAAACAATGATTCATTTAAGATTTACTTCGAGTGTCCCTGTGTAAGAATTTCCACGACAGTATTAAATTATTTTCCCCCCCTCATCAATCTACACACAATACCCCATAATGACGAAGCAAAAACAGGTTTAGAAATCTTTGCAAATGTATTAAAAATAAAAAACAGAAAAACCTTATTTACATAATATTCAGACCCTTTGCTATGAGACTCGAAATTGAGCTCAGGTGCATCCTGTTTCCATTGATCATCCTTGACATGTTTCTACAACTTGATTGGAGTCCACCTGTGGTAAATTCAATTGATTGGACATGATTTGGAAAGGCACACACCTGTCTATATAAGGTCCCACATTTGACAGAGCATGTCAGAGCAAAAACCAAGCCATGAGGTCGAAGGAATTGTCCGTAGAGCTCAGAGACAGGATTGTGTCGAGGCACAGATCTGGGGAAGTGTACCAAAACATTTCTGCAGCATTGAAGGTCCCCAAGAACACAGTGGCCTCCATCATTCTTAAATGGAAGAAGTTTGGATCCACCAAGACTCTTCCTAGAGCTGACCACCCAGCTAAACTGAGCAATCGGGGGAGAAGGGCCTTGGTCAGGGAATTTACCAAGAACCTGATGGTCACTTTGACAGAGCTCCAGAGTTCCTTCTGTGGAGATGGGAGAACCTTCCAGAAGGACAACCATCTCTGCAGCACTCCACCAAATCAGGCCTTTATGGTAGAGTGGCCCGACGGAAGCCACTCCTCAGTAAAAGGCACATGACAGCCCGCTTGGAGTTTGCCAAAAGACACCTAAAAGACTCTCAGACCATGAGAAACAAGATTGAACTCTTTAGCCTGAATGCTAAGCGTCACGTCTGGCAGGGACTGCGAGACTAGTCAGGATCGAGGGAAAGGGGAACTGAGCAAAGTACAGCGATATCCTTGATGAAAACCTGCTCCAGAGCACTCAGGAACTTAGACTGAGGCGAAGGTTCACCTTCCAACAGGACACCGATCCTAAGCACATGGCTTTGGGACAAGTCTCTAAATGTCCTTGAGTGGCCCAGCCAGAGCCCAGACTTGAACCCGATCGAATATCTCCGGAGAGAGCTAAAAATAGCTGTGCGGCGACGCTCCCCATCCAACCTGACAGAGCTTGAGAGGATCTGCAGAGAAGAATGGGAAAAACTCCCCAAATACAGGTGGGCCAAGCTTGTAGCGTCATACACAAGAAGACTCGAGGCTGTAATCGCTGCCAAAGGTGCTTCAATAAAGATATTTCAGTTTTTTATTTGTAAGAAATTTGCAAAAAAATATAAAAAACTGTTTTTGCTTTGTCATTATGCGTTCTGAAGGTAATTGGTTGCACCAGATCTTATTTAGGGGCTTCATAGCAAAGGGGGTACATATGCATGCACCACTTTTCCGTTATTTATTTTTTAGAATTTTTTGAAACAAGTTATTTTTGTTCATGCGGTAATGTTTGTATATTGATGGGGGGGGTATATGGTTGAGTCATCAGCATACATGAACACACAGGCTTTGTTTAATGCCAGTGGCAGGTCATTTGTAAAAATAGAAAAGAGTAGAGGGCCTAGAGAGCTGCCCTGCGGTACACCAAACCCTACATGTTTGACAGAGAGACTTCCATGAAAGAAAACCCTCTGAGTTATATTAGATTGATAGCTCTAAATCCACGATATGGCAGAGGTTGAAAAGCCATAAAACATAAGTTTTCTCAACAACAGGTTATAGTCAATAATATCAAAGGCTGCTTTGAAATCTAACAGTACAGCTCCCACAATCTTCTTATCAATTTCTTTCAACCAATCATCAGTCATTTGTGTCAGTGCGGTACATATTGAGTGCCCTTCTCTATAAGCATGCTAAAAGTCTGTTGTCAATTTGTTTACAGAGAAATAGCATTGTATTTGGTCAAACACAATTTTTTCCAACAGTTTGCTAAGAGCAGGCAGCAAGCTGATAGGTCTGCTGTTATAATCAGTATAGGCCGCTTTACCAGTTTTGGGTAGCGGAATGACTTTGTCTTCCCTCCAGGCCTGAGGACAAACACCTTCCTCTAGACTCAGATTAAAGATACAGTATGACAGATAGGAGTGGCCAGAGAGTCAGCTACCATACTCAGTATTTTTCCAGGTCTAGTGCAGGTAATGGGCAAGTAGACTCAATTCCCCCCATGTGGAGTTGGGATGGTATCTTCTTGTATTGGTTCTCTGCAGTGGTGGAAAAAGTACCCAATTGTCATACTTGAGTAAAAGTAAAGATACCTTAATAGAAAATGACTCAAGTAAAAGTAAAAGTCACCCAGTAAAATACTACTTGAGTAAAAGTATTTGGTTTTAAATATACTTAAGTATCAAAAGTAAATGTAGAAGTATAAATCATTGCAAATTGCTTATAATAAGCAAACCAGACGGCACACTTCTTTTTTCTTTTTTTACGGATAGCCAGGGGCACACTCCAACACTCAGACATAATTTACAAACGAAGCATTTCTGTTTCGTGAGTCCGCCAGATCAGACGCAGTAGGGTAGACCAATGATGGTCTCTTGATAAGTGCGTGAATTGGACCATTTTCCTGTCCTGCTAAGCATTCAAAATGTAACAAGTACTTTTGGGTGTCAGGGAAAATGTATGGAGTAAAAAGTACATAATTTTCTTCAGGAATGTAGTGAAGTAAAAGTAAAAGTAGTCAAAAATATAAATAGTAAAGTAAAGTACAGTACAGATACCCCAAAAAACTGCTTAAGTAGTACTTGAAAATATTTTTACTAAAGTACTTTACACCACTGGTTCTCTGTACCATTTAGAAGAACTATAGCATCTAAAACAGATGAGTGAAAACAGCTCTATCTGGCCAGCTGCAATGTTTCGTGTTTGTCATTCTTCTGTAGTGACTGGAGACAGCTGTCAGCATAGGGACATGGATAGAGAGTTCAATTCCTCCAACTCACATAAGTCAGGAGCCAGGAATGGATGCACCTTTGTCCCTGAGGGTTTCTGGTTATATTTAGCAAACAACGGTCCTTTTGTCTTTAGAGCATCATAAATCATACAAATGCCAACCACAGGTTCGATATTTCCAAGGATGCATAATTCCATAACCCTTTTGTCTCCCGGTATCACACTTCCTTTTTTTCCTCACTGAGACCAAGGCACACACACACACAAAATTGGGTCACTATTATATTCCAGTGTGTATCCATGCCTACTGTACCTGCTCAAACACACACAATTAATGAATGTGATAATGACCTCAGATCCATCCTCTATTGTACTATGAGGGTGTTTCCACACACACACCACTCACACACTGTGGCACCATAAACCTCTCATCCAAACAGTAGTATTGTACTATGAGGGTGGTTCCACAAGCACACACACACACACACACACACACACACACACACACACACACACACACACACACACACACACACACACACACACACACACACACACACACACACACACACACACACACAATAAACCTCTCATCCAAACACTAGTATTGTACTATGAGGGTGGTCCCATCCACACACACTATGGCACAATAAACCTCTCATCCAAACAGCAAAGACCAGGTCATCCAAGATCAACTTCCTCTGAAATGAATGTCAAGGTGGTGAGGCAGTCAGGAAATCTTTAACACATGCCAGAACATACCAGGAAACTGAAGAAACAGGAACAATATACTGTAGGTCTCACACAAGAGACACACACAGGACAAACACACTGTAGTTACACAATTCCCATGACACACACAGAAACACACTCTGAATGATTCCTGGAGAAAAACCCTATCCCAGCTGCATGGAATCATGGTGGTGACAACTATTAGCCTGAGAGCTCAAAAATAGCCAGTCGAGATCAATGAGGTCAGAACATTTCTCATACAGAAACCGAGGAGGAAATTTCTCCTGCTTTCCTCTGGGCCAAAGTTTAAAATTAGGACTCTTATGGGGGAAGTGGACACCTCCATTGAGATCGGTCGATGGAGAGGGATACACTCACCGTCTTCCTTGCGCAGGAAACACTTCCAGAGGCAGAAGCAGAGACTTATGACCAGCAGAGCAGCTACAGTGGTCACCGAGATCAGGATGGTCAAAGCTGTCCCAACTAGACAGAAATAGAGGGAGGGAGGGAGAGAGAGCAGAGATAGAAACAGAGAGAAACAGATGAGATATAGAGAGGATATAGAGAGAGATAGATTGAGTGAGAGAGGATCAAGAGAGAGAGAGGATCGAGAGAGAGAGAGATTGAGTGAGAGAGGATTGAGAGAGAGAGGACTGAGAGAGCGAGAGAGGATTGAGAGAAAGAGAGGATTGAAGAGAGAGAGAGAGGATCGAGAGAGAGCGGATTCGAGAGAGAGAGATTGAGTGAGAGAGGATCTAGAGAGAGAGGATTGAGAGGAGAGAGAGCGATTGAGTGAGAGGATCTAGAGAGAGAGGATCTAGAGAGAGAGAGAGAGGATCGAGGGAGAGTCGAGAGAGAGGATCGAGAGAGAGAGAGCGTTGAGAGAGAGAGAGGATTGAGAGAGAGAGGATCGAGAGAGAGAGAGGATCGAGAGAGAGAGGATCGAGAGAGAGAGACAGAGAGAGACAGAGAGAGAGAGAGAGGATCGAGAGAGAGAGAGGATAGAGAGAGAGAGGATCGAGAGAGAGAGGATCTGAGTAGAGAGGATCAAGAGAGGAATCGAGAGAGAGAAGATCGAGAGAGAGGACCCGAGATAGAGAGAGAGGACCGAGAGAGAGAGGGCCGAGAGAGAGAGGATCGAGAGAGAGATTCAGTGAGAGTGGATCGAGAGAGAGACTGAATCAAGAGAGAGAGGATCAAGAGAGAGAGAGAGAGAGAGAGACGATTGAGATACCGAGAGGATCGGGAGACAGAGATTCAGTGAGAGAGATAGAGGATCGAGAGAGACAAAATCTGGCAACAAATCAAACTGATAAAACTATAAAGAATGTTAATTGGTTTAAAAACCGCTTCAGATTAACGTAGTTTTCATTTCATTATGTACAGTCACCTCCAAAACTATTGGTACCATTGATAAAGATGGCGCAAAAAATACTAAAATAAACAAAACAAATACTGAGCTACAGTATATTGTATATATTGTATGCAAAAAAAAGGGAAATTATATTATTTTACACTAATACAATTAATTGAGAAAAATATTTTAATAAAGTAATACAACTAATCTCAAAAAGATAATTGTCAAGATTATCGGCACCCCTAAAGATACGTATAAATAAAATCAACCAAAATCTAATCTGCATTAACATTCTACTTTTTTTCAGTTTATCTCAGTTTAAGGAACTGTAGAATTGTGGCCTTCCATGGCTTCCCGTTTAACTAGGGTATAAAATGAGCTAACACTCATGTAAAAACCCTTTGTCATCCCTTACCATGGGGCCTCCTGTAGCTCTTTTGTAGAGCATGGGGCCTTGCACGCCAGGGTTTGTGGGTTGGTCGATTCCACGGGGGGCCAGTATGAAAATGTAGTGTCACTCACTCACTGTAGTCGCTCTGATAGAGCGTCTGGTTAAATGAAAGGGCAAAGACTAAAAAATGAAGAGAGACATTTACATTACCATTTACTGTAATTTTGCAGACGCTCCTTATCCAAATGCTTCCAGTATCAATTAGGGTTTAAGTGCCTTGCTCAAAGCACATTAAACAATTCTCACTAGTCGGCTGGGGCATTCTAACCAGCAATCTTTCGATACTGGCCAGACACTCTAACAACTAGTTAACTGGCCTTCATAAATCCCACAATGGGTAAATAAATAGTTTTTTTATAAATAAATATACAACCACCATTATAGGGCAATAATCTAAGAAGTTTCAACCCCTGAACAGTGATAACCGTGCTGGAAAGGACGCATATGTACAGTATCTTGTCCCAACGCCCCAGTGGGAAGATGGTTCAGGAGGCAAAGGAAATCCAAGGGCCACAGATTGATCATTACAGAGCTTCGTCCATCTTGTGGTCTTCAATCTACAATTAGAACGCCACCTCCATGCCAACAGGTTTTTGGAAGGGTTTGTCAGAAAAAGGCTTATTGAGAGAAACACGAATTGTAAACTGCCTTGAGTTTGCTAACAGCATGGGCACTAGGATGAGAACCGTGTGCACTACACAAATTTATAGGACATGTTACCTAAGGCCACACACACACACAAAATGGGCACCTAACCTTCATCCAAACAGTGTATGTACTTATGTTCCAGACTACACAAAACACACAATAAAATATAAGACTCTCATCCAACACTAGTTGTACTATGAGGGTGTCCATCCACAACACATGGCACAATAAACCTCTATCCAAAACAGTCAGATATTTGATATGAGGGGTGGGCCAGATCAACACACCAAACAACAAAACTGAAGAAACAAACAAAACACCCACAGAACACACACAACAACACACATACACAATTCCCAACACACACAAAACACACTCAAATCAAAAAACCCTATCCCACTGATGTCATGGTGGTACAACACTATGCCTAACTCAAAAACTAGCCAGTCATCAATGAGGTCAACTTCTCTACAGAATCAGGAGGCAAATTTTACCTGCATCATCGGGCACAAGTAAAAAGGACTCTATGGGTCACAGAGACACCTCACCTGTGACAATCGGCGATGCAACGGATACACACCTATGTTCCTGGCAGAAACACTATCCAGAGCAGAACAGGACAATATGACCAGCAGAGCCAAAACATAGCCACCGAGATCAATGAGTCAAACATTCCCAACAGACAAACAACGAGGGAGGAGAAACCGACTGCAAGTAAATAGAAACTTATGAGAGGAAGTGGACACTCCAGAATGCGAGGAATGAGAACGAAGATCTCTGCATTCGCAGGAGAATCAAGAGGAGAGAGAGGATTATGACAGAGAGCATCTCAGTGACGAGACAGGATGGAAGAGACTGTCCAGACTAGGACAGACATGAGAGGATTGAGAGAAAGCAGAGGATAGAGAAAGAGAGAGAAGAGGACGAGAATGAGGGATATAGAGAGAGAAGATGAGTGAGAGAGGATCAGAGAGAGAGGATTCGAGAGAGAGAGGATTGATGAGAGAGGACTAGAGAGAGAGGATCTAGAGAGAGAGAGATGAGAGAGAGATGAGGAGAGAGGGAGTAGGATCGAGAGGAGAGCGGAATTCAGAGAGAGAGAGATTGAAGGAGAGAGAGGAGAGTCGAGAGAGAGAGGATCGAAGAGAGAGGGAGAGAGAGAAGAGAGAGAGAGAGGAGGATCTGAGAGAGAGAAGGAGAGAGAGAGAGAGGATGAGAGGAGAGTCGAAGAGAGAGGATCGAGAGAAGAGGAGGATCGAGAGAGAGAGGATGAGAGAGAGAGGATCGAGAGAGAGGAGAGAGGATCGAGAGAGAGAGAGAGGATCGAGAGAGAGGAGAGAGAGACAGAGAGGAGAGAGAGAGAGAGAGGATCGAGAGAGAGGATCGAGAGAGGAGATGAGAGAGAGAGGCTCGAGAGAGAGAGGATCGAGAGAGAGAGGATCGAGAGAGAGAGGATCGAGAGAGAGAGGATCAAGAGAGAGAATCGAGAGAGAGAAGATCGAGAGAGAGGACCGAGAGAGAGAGAGAGGACCGAGAGAGAGAGGGCCGAGGGAGAGAGGATCGAGAGAGAGATTCAGTGAGAGTGGATCGAGAGAGAGACTGAATCAAGAGAGAGAGGTTCGAGAGAGAGAGAGAGAGAGACGATTGAGATACCGAGAGGATCGGGAGACAGAGATTCAGTGAGAGAGATAGAGGATCGAGAGAGACAAAATCTGGCAACAAATCAAACTTGATAAAACTACAAAGAATGTTAATTGGTTTAAACCGCTTCAGATTAACGTAGTTTTCATTTCATTATGTACAGTCACCTCCAAAACTATTGGTACCATTGATAAAGATGGAGCAAAAAATACTAAAATAAACAAAACAAATACTGAGCTACAGTATATTGTATATATTGTATGCAAAAAAAGGGAAATTATATTATTTTACACTAATACAATTAATTGAGAAAAATATTTTAATAAAGTAATACAACTAATCTCAAAAAGATAATTGTCAAGATTATCGGCACCCCTAAAGATACGTATAAATAAAATCAACCAAAATCTAATCTGCATTAACATTCTACTTTTTTTCAGTTTATCTCAGTTTAAGGAACTGTAGAATTGTGGCCTTCCATGGCTTCCCGTTTAACTGGGGTATAAAAATGAGCTAACACTCATGTAAAAACCCTTTGTCATCCCTTACCATGGGCCTCCTGTAGCTCAGTTGGTAGAGCATGGGGCTTGCAACGCCAGGGTTGTGGGTTCGATTCCCACGGGGGGCCAGTATGAAAATGTATGCACTCACTAACTGTAAGTCGCTCTGGATAAGAGCGTCTGGTTAAATGAAAGGCAAAGAACTAAAAAATGAAGAGACATTTACATTACATTTAAGTAATTTTGCAGACGCTCTTATCCAGAATGACTTACAGGAGCAATTAGGGTTAAGTGCCTTGCTCAAAGGCACATTAACAGATTCTTCACCTAGTCGGCTCGGGGATTCTAACCAGCAATCTTTCGATTACTGGCCAGACACTCTTAACAACTAGGTTAACTGGCCTTCATAAATCCAACAATGGGTAAATAAATAGTTTTTTATAAATAAATATACAACTCACCATTATTAGGGCAATAATTAAGAAGTTTCAAACCACTGGAACAGTGATAAACTTGCTGGAAAAGGACGCATATGTACAGTATCTTGTCCCCACGCACAGTGAGGAAGATGGTTCAGGACGCAAAGGAAATCCAAGGGCCACAGATTGAGAATTACAGAACTTCGTCGCATCTTGGGGTCTTCAAATCTACAATTAGACGCCACCTCCATGCCAATAGGTTTTTTGGAAGGGTTGTCAGAAAAAAAGGCTTAATTGAGAGAAACCAAGAATGTAAACGCCTTGAGTTTGCTAAACAGCATTGGCACTAGGATGAGAACCGGGTGCTATGGTCAGATTAGTTGAAAATATAGTTTTTTGGCCACGTACACCAGCAGTGGGTTTGGCATCGAAAAGGATGCCTATGCAGAAAATAACCTCATATCTACAGTAAAATATGGTGATGATTGTTTATCTTATTGGGCTGGTTGCCTCTGCCAGGAAGCTAAAACTTGGCCGCAAGTGGATCTTCCAGCAAGACAATGACCCCAAGCACACATCAAAATCCACAAAGAAATTGTTATTTGACCACAAAATCAACATTTTGCAATGGACATCTCAGTTTCGAGACTTAAATCCTTGGGAAACCTGTGGTTTGATTTGAAGAGGGCAGGCAGCGGAGACCAAAGGATTTCAAGGGTTTGGAAAGATTTTGTATGGAGGAATGGTCTAAGATCCTTCCCAATGTGTTCTCCAATCTCATAAAACATTATAGAAAAAGGCTCAGTGCCATTATCCTCACAAGGGGAGTTGCACAAAGTATTGAAAACAGGGATGCCAATCATTTTGACCCCTATCTTTTTGAGAAAACAAATATTACTTGTTAAACGAGAAAGCAATATAGCTCAGTATTTGTATTATTTATTTCATACAGTCTTTTTTGCTCATCTTTATCAAGGGAGACAATCATTTTGGAGGTGTAAACTAAACCTGCTTGGCAATGACTTCAACAAAAACAGATCTAAACTCTTACACACTGTTTAGGATCAGTCATTATTGTTTGGCAGACATTGTTCATCCCATCCCTCAGGGATCAGTATTCTTGGCTTTAGTCTGGTTTGGTCAGGCTACTTTTCCCAAAAGCAGCTAATTTAAAAACAAGTGTAAACTCTGAGCCAAGATGTGTGTGTGTGTCTGTATCTGTGTGTGTTTGTGTGTCTCACTCACTCTTGGTGTTCATAGAAACAGCGATGGGTGATTCCAGACCCTTATGGTGGACCAGGCATTTGACGGACACGTCCTTCAGCAGCCCTGATTGGACGGTGAGGGTGCTGATGACCAGGGTGGTTCCGTCCCCCTGCTGGAGCTGTGATGTCACAGGGGGTCCCATAGTTCGGTTGTCCCTCTCCACGTTCCACACTATCTCCGCCGGGGGCCGGGACACAGCTGTACAGTTGGCCTCGATGACCCCTGGAGACGTGTTCTTGTAGCTCACCTGGGGTTTAGGCAGTACTGGGGAAGACACAGATACAACCAAAAATCAATATTGGGTTTACTGAATCAGTGTTTTTCAGGTGGGTTGACCTACTGTAACTACAACTAGTTCCTGGCTATAGACTATTTTTGATTACTTGGAACACAAAATAAATTCTAAAAGCTTTAGGTGGGTTACACCAAGTTAACCACTGAGATGTGTCTAGTTTTGTGATTCTGACATCAATAACTGAGTGTGGGCTTAAGAAAGATAAACAGAGGAGGGAGTACAAATTATCCAAACTTATTTGGGCAGAGAATCAATGTCACAGATAACATCAATGTGTGAATACACCAAGCTTGTGAATAAAGTGCATTCGGAAAGTATTCAGACCCCTTTACGTTTTCCACATTCTGTTACGTTACAGCCTCATTCAAAAAAAATAAACCCTCATCAATCTACACACAATACCCCATAATGACAAAGCAAAAACAGGTTTAGACATTTTTGCAAATGTTTAAAAATAAAAAACTGAAATATGACATTTACATAAGTATTCAGACCCTTTACTCAGTACTTTGTTGAAGCACCTTTGGCAGCGATTACAGCCTCAAGTCTTCTTGGGTATGACGCTACAAGCTTGGCACACCTGTATTTGGGGAGTTTCTCCCATTCTCCTCTGCAGATCCTCTCAAGCTCTGTCAGGTTGGATGGGGAGCGTCACTGCACAGCTATTTTCAGGTCTCTCCAGAGATGTTTGATCGGGTTCAAGTCCGGGCTCTGGCTGGGCCACTCAAGGACATTCAGAGACTTGTCCCGAAGCCACTCCTGCATTGTCTTGGCTGTGTGCTTAGGGTTATTGTCCTGTTGGAAGGTGAACCTTCGCCCCAGTCTGAGGTCCTGAGCGCTCTGGAGCAGGTTTTAATCAAGGATCTCTCTGTACTTTACTCTGTTCATCTTTCCCTCGATCCTGACTAGGATGCCGCTGAAAAACATCCCCACAGCATGATGCTGCCACAGCATGCTTCACTGTAGGGATAGTGCCAGGTTTCCTCCAGGCGTGATGCTTGGCATTCAGGCCAAAGAGTTCTATCTTGGTTTCATCAGACCAGAGAATCTTGTTTCTCATGGTCTGAGAGTCCTTAAGGTGCCTTTTCGCAAACTGCAAGAGGGCTGTCATGTGCCTTTTACTGAGGAGTGGCTTCCATCTGGCCACTCTACCATAAAGGCCTGATTGGTGGAGTGCTGCAGAGATGGTTGTCCTACTGGAAGGTTCTCCCATCTCCATAGAGGAACTCTGAAGCTCTGTCAGAGTGACCATTGGGTTCTTGGTCACCTCCCTGACCAAGGCCCTTCTCCCCCAGTTGCTCAGTTTGGCTGGGCGGCCAGCTCTAGGAAGAGTCTTGGTGGTTCCAAACTTCTTCCATTCAAGAATGATGGAGGCCACTGTGTTCTGTGGGACCTTCAATGCTGCAGACATTTTTTGGTACCCTTCCCTAGATCTGTGCCTCCACACAATCCTGTCTCTGAGCTCTACGGACAATTCCTTCGACCTCATGGCTTGGTTTTTGCTCTGACGTGCACTGTCAACTGTAGGACCTTATACAGACAAGTGTGTACCTTTCCAAATCATGTCCAATCAATTGAACTTACCACAGCTGGACTCCAATCAAGTTGTAGAAACATCTCAAGGATGCTCAATGGAAACAGGATGCACCGGAGCTCAATTTCGAGTATCATAGCAAAGGCTCTGAATACTTATAGAAATAAGGTTATTTCTGAGGGAATTTTTTTGATTTTTTATTTATTTAATCCATTTTCGAATAAGGCTGTAACGTAACAAGATGTGGAAAAAGTGAAGGGGTCTAAATACTTTCCAAATGCACTGTACATGTGTACTTGAGCTCCATAAACAACACATCGCCTCTGTTTAAAATGTTTTGTTCTCAGAGCTGTGGAAGGAATGTTATTCATTGGAATTGAGACAGATATTTGGCCCTGACAGCAGCAGTGTCTTCACAGTTGTTTCTACAGTGAACCATATGAACCACCAATCTGGAGAAGATCTGTGGTAGAGGTGGGGCAAACCATGGAGGAACTTGCACTGTGATATCATACAGTACATTAATGAGAGAGAGAGAGAGAGAGAGAGAGAGAGAGAGAGAGAGAGAGAGAGAGAGAGAGAGAGAGAGAGAGAGAGAGAGAGAGAGAGAGAGAGAGAGAGAGAGCCAGAGAGAGAGACAGAGACAGAGACAGAGACAGAGAGCGATAGAAGTAGAGAGACAGAAGTAGAAGTAGAGAGAGTGTGAGAGAGAAAGTGAGAGAGTGAGATGGCAGTGGTGAAGAAAGCGCGAGAAAAATGCTATCTCCGGCATCTCTCACGCTTTTCTGCTGGAATCGTAGTCAGTTCCATTTGAGACAAAAGCCTTGCTGTTTGACTGACAGGGAAAAGACGGAGAGAGCGAGGGAGAGCGAGAATGAGAGAAGAAGGAAAGAGAGTTAGAAAGAGAAAGCACGAGAGAGGGTGGGTTGATGAGACAGTAGGGAGCACTGTCTGCGTGAAACAGTAATACAGTCATGACTTTGGGTGTCACACTTTCCTCCCCCCTCTCCCTTTAATAGATCCATTCTTCAGTGCCAATGTAAACTCTCTGGCCGTGCTACCTCAGGCAGACACACCACCAGCCTGGGTTTGTGTTTCACTTAATCACACAAACACCACAACTTCAAACAGCCGGAAAACTAATGATAATCAAACATTGATTTGACACAGATTTGAAATGAACGATGTGTGTGTGTACTGTATTTGCATGCATGCGTGTGTGCGTGCGCATGAGTCTCATGCATTTTACAGTAAATCAGGGAGATAATCCACCTGGAAGTAATCCCACCTGAACCTCATTCCTGAAGAGCCCTTACCAGCAACATCCATTAATTACACAGCCCTACAGACTGTACCTCTCCATCTCAGCCATAACCATGTCAGGAAAAGCACAATATGTAGAGACACTCCTTTCCACCTCGATCCCTTTAGAGCTGACTGCAGGTGCAGGACTCCTGACCTGCCCAGTCCCAGCCCACATGTAATATATTGCTGTTCAGGGAGAACCTCTGTGCTATAGCATACTGTAGCAGCAGTAGTCAAACCAGGAGGAGCTGCATATTGTTATACTGCCTCTTTCATTGTCACTACTACAATTTCCATCATTTAAGACTGTCAATGCTGCCAGTGGACACAGAGGTCAGAGCGCATGCATGCACGCACAAACACACATACACACACTTTCACACCCACACAAACGTCAAATTATCTCCCCCTCTTCACTAGATGAAACTATGCAGAAGCAAACAAAAACGTCCCACTGCTGTAACCTAATATTTCAGAATACATTGACCACCATCAGCCAAACACAATAACAGCATATAATATTATTCCTCACCTTAGGGTCTGCACTGTATATTACTGTACCAGAGGAGTAATAACTCTTCTCTATGGAGTGAAAGAGAGCATTCACCAGTCTGGTTCGTTCAGCACAGTCAGGTCTGTATCATATTAACTGTCATGCTGGGGATTCAAACATCATGCACTACTCAGGCTCACACCCTACTGTGAGTTACACACACACAGCACAGTGTAAAACACAAGCACCTGAAGGTGGGTATGCTGGCATTATAATCAATCATCATTACTATAGATGACACTCATTACTATAGACAGTGAGGAGGATGTTTAACTTATAACCCTATCAAAGACAGTGAGGAAGGAATATGTAGAGTAACCCTTCCTACCAAAGATAGTGAGGCAGACGGTAGCGCTCTTGGTGCCCTCTGGGTAGGTGTGGTACTCGCAGGTGTAGCAGCCCTCATCCTGGACGCTGACCGGTCTGATGGACAGCTTGCTGTGGGAGAGGGAGGGGGTCAGCCAGGCCCTCTCCTGGTAGGGCGGCTCGATCATGGGGTCGCTGCGTTTAGCATAGGAGGCTACTTCGCTTGAGTCCCGCTGCTCTGCTGTATGTCTCCACAGCACCTGTTGTACCTTCTCTGGCAGCCCATAGGAGCAAGACAGGGATGCTGCCTTACCACTCACCGCTGTCTTGTTACCCTCTGCAGTCACACGTGCTGTAGGAGAGGGGAAAGAATATGCTAACACAGGCTGAAAAGAGTAGAAACACAGACACAGACAGAGACAGAGAGACAGGCAGGCAGAGTACACACACAAACTATGGTATACAATCTGTGCATCTAGCTTTCTGTCTGCAACAGCTGTTTCTGATTGTCAATATGAGCATCCCCTCCCCTCCCCTCCTCAGCCAGCGGTCAGTAACCACACAGGACCCATCAATAACACATGAGTATGCTCCCACAGCTTCAATTTAACATGCTGATATCAGAACATAAAACAAAAACATATGGGGATGGGAGTCATGACATCTCTATACATCCATCAGAGAAAATCTCTATAGTATAGAACAGGGATCATCAACTACACTGAAAAAAATATAAACGCAACATGTAAAGTGTTGGTCCCATGTTTCATGAGCTGAAATAAAAGATAGCAGAAATGTCCCAAATGCATCAAAAGCTTATTTCTCTCAAATTTGTTTTCATCCCTGTTAGTGAGCATTTCTCCTTTGCCAAGATAAACCATCCACCTCACAGGTGTGGCATAACAAGAAGATGATTAAACAGCATGATCATTACACAGGTGCACCTTGTGCTGGGGACAATAAAAGGCCACTAAAATGTGCAGATGTTACACAACAAAATGCCACAGATGTCTCAAGTATTGAGGGAGTGTGCAATTGGCATGCTGAATGCAGGAATGTCCACCAAAGCTGTTGCCAGAGAATTGAATGTTCATTTCTCTACCATAAGCCGCCTCCAACGTTGTTTTAGAGAATTTGTCAGTACAGCCAACCGGCCTCAAAACCGCAAACCACGTGTAACCATGCCAGCCCATGACCTCCTCATCCGGCTTCTTCACCTGCGGGATCGTCTGAGACCAGCCACCCGGACAGCTGATGAAACTGTGGCTTTGCAAAACCGAAGAATTTCAGCACAAACTGTCAGAAACCATCTCAGGGGAGCTCATCTGCATGCTCGTCGTCCTCGCCAGGGTCTTGACAAATGCTCACCTTCGATGGCCACTGGCACGCTGGAGAAGTGTGCTCTTCACGGATGAATCCCGGTTTCAACTATATCGGGCAGATGTCAGACAGTGTGTATGGTGTCGTGTGGGTGAGCGGTTTACTGATGTCAACATTGTGAACAGAGTCCCCATGGTGGCGGTGGGGTTATGGTATGGGCAGGCATAAGCTACGGACAGTGAACACAATTGCATTTTATCGATGGCAATTTGATGATTTGAGATACCATGATGAGATCCTAAGGCCCATTGTCATGCCATTCACCCGCCACCATTACCCCATGTTTCAGCATGATAATGCACGGACCCATGTTGCAAATGATCTGTACACAATTCCTGGAAGCTGAAAATGTCCCAGTTCTTCCATGGCCTGCAAACTCAGACATATCACCCATTGAGCATGTTTGGGATGCTCTGGATCGACAATATGCCACAGGACACAATCAACAGCTTGATCAACTCTATGTGAAGGAGATGTGAGAAGCAAATGATGGTCACACCAGATACTGACTGGTTTTCTGATCCACACCCATACCTTTTTTAAGGTATCTGTGTCCAACAGATGCATATCTGTATTCCCAGTCATGTGAAATCCACAGATTAGGACCTAATTAATATATTTCAACTGACAGATTTCCTTATATGAACTCTAACTCAGTAAAGTCTTTTGAATTTGTTGCGTGTGTATTTTTGTTCAGTGTAGATTCAGCCTCAGGACAATTATTTTCTTGAGAGGGTGGTCACGGGTCGAAACATAATTACAAATATTTAGTAGACTGAAAATTGACCGCAAGAAGCCCAAACATATATAATATTTCACTAAAACAATAGTTTAAAACCTTGCTTACATTTGTATACGATCACATATACAGTTGAAGTCGGAAGTTTACATACACCTTAGCCAAATACATTTAAACTCAGTTTTTCACAATTCCTGACATTTAATCCTTGTAAAAATTCCCTGTTTTAGGTCAGTTAGGATCACCACTTTATTTTAAGAATGTGAAATGTCAGAATAATAGTAGAGAGAATGATTTATTTCAGCTTTTATTTCTTTCATCACATTCCCAGTGGGTCAGAAGTTTACATGCACTCAATTAGTGTTTGGTAGCATTGCCTTTAAATTGTTTAACTTGGGTCAAACGTTTCAGGTAGCCTTCCACAAGCTTCCCACAATAAGTTGGGTGAATTTTGGCCCATTCCTCCAGACAGAGCTGGTGTAACTGAGTCAGGTTTGTAGGCCTCCTTGCTCGCACACACATTTTCAGTTCTGCCCACAAATTTTCGATAGGATAGAGGTCAGGGCTTTGTGATGGCCACTCCAATACCTTGACTTTGTTGTCCTTAAGCCATTTTGCCACAACTTTGGAAGTATGCTTGGGGTCATTGTCCATTTGGAAGACCCATTTGCGACCAAGCTTTAACTTCCTGACTGATGTCTTGAGATGTTGCTTCAATATATCCACATCATTTTCCTTCCTCATGATGCCATCTATTTTGTGAAGTGCACCAGTCTCTCCTGCAGCAAAGCACCGCCACAGCATGATGCTGCCACCTCCGTGCTTCACGGTTGGGATGGTGTTCTTCGGCTTGCAAGTACCCCCTTTTTCCTCCAAACATAACGATGGTCATTATGGCCAAACAGTTCTATTTTTGTTTCATCAGACCAGAGGACATTTCTCCAAAAAGTACGATCTTTGTCCCCATGTGCAGTTGCAAACCGTAGTCTGGCTTTTATATGGTGGTTTTGGAGCAGTGGCTTCTTCCTTGCTGAGCGGCCTTTCAGGTTATGTCGATATAGGACTCGTTGTACTGTGGATATAGATAATTTTGTACCCGTTTCCTCCAGCATCTTCACAAGGTCCTTTGCTGTTGTTCTGGGATTGATTTGCACTTTTCGCACCAAAGTATGTTCATCTCTAGGAGACAGCACGTGTCTCCTTCCTGAGCGGTATGACAGCTGCGTGGTCCCATGGTGTTTATACTTGCGTACTATTGTTTGTACAGATGAACGGGGTACCTTCAGGCGTTTGGAAATTGCTCCCATGGATGAACCAGACTTGTGGAGGTCTACATTTTTTTTTCTGAGGTCTTGGCTGATTTCTTTTGATTTTCCCATGATGTCAAGCAAAGAGGCACTGAGTTTGAAGGTAGGCCTTGAAATACATCCACAGGTACACCTCCAATTGACTCAAATGATGTCAATTAGCCTATCAGAACCTTCTAAAGCCATGACATCATTTTCTGGAATTTTCCAAGCTGTTTGAAGGCACAGTCAACTTCTGACCCATTGGAATTGTGATACAGTGAATTATAAGTGAAATAATCTGTCTGTAAACAATTGTTGGAAAAATTACTTGTGTCATGCAGAAAGTAGATGTCCTAACCGACTTGCCAAAACTATAGTTTGTTAACAAGTAATTTGTGGAGTGGTTGAAAAACTAGTTTTAATGACTCCAACCTAAGCGTATGTAAACTTCCGACTTCAACTGTATCTCTGTTATGCATGGTAATACTTTGGAACAGATTTCCAAAATTAAAAACACTTGGTGTTTTTAGTCTTTTATGTCTAACAATAAAATAAATAAAATCACCCGCCAGTTTGGGAACCCTGGTATAGAGGTTTAACAAAAGAGGAGTGAATAGGGAAAGGTGTGTGATTCTATTTTGTGGTCTCCAGAAAGGTAGCATGCACTGAGAGTCCACTGAGAACAACATAGGGCACCAAACAAAAGGATGGGCAGAAAATAGAGTAGACATTTTTATTCAGAAAACTTTATCGGAGTGCCCATGCTGCTGACCAGAACATTTTCAGTCCAGCCCTTTCTTTCTGTTCCTCTCTTTTTTCTTTCTCAAATTGGGTTTCTCCCGTTAATGCCTCCAGCCACTGGATCTGAATACAGAAAACCTCTGTCCCCTTCCTTCATCTCTCAGTTGCCATATTAACTCCTCTAATATCACCAATTCAGGAGAGGGGAGGGAAGGAAAGAGACACACAGGAAAGTGAAAATGATTCAACAATGTTTGGTACATGCTCATGTACTCAGGTGTGACACTTCGACTACTATCAAAGAGTGACACCGCAATGGCACAGAGTAAATCTGAACGGTCTCCTCTACTTACATGTGACAGTGAGGCAGGTGTGTCCCTCCTGCGATCCCGAGGGGTACAGGTCAAAAATGCATGTGTAGCAGCCCTCGTCTCTGAAGCCCACCCTGCGGATGGTGATGGCTGAGGTATCCTTGGGGGAGGCGGCCAGCTCTACATGCTGCTGGCCACTCACGCTGTCCTTCTGGCTGGGCTCGTAGGTCAACAGGGTCTTGTTCTGGACATCCAGCCAGCGCACCTGTTTCAGGCTGTCCCCACGCCCCTTAGACACCATGCAGGACAGAGTGAAGGGGAGCTCCACTGGGGCCTCCACGCGCTCAGGGGCCGTTACCTTGCCTGGGACACGGATAGGGGAGTGGTCAACAAGGATCACAGATCAGTCAAACAACTCATGCACTTGTGGCATGTAAATGTCTAGCACTGTATACAACATATTGGTTGGTGGAAACATGTGCATTGCCACAACATTTGTGAACTTCCTAATAAAAAGACAAATGTATCAATATGTCTAGTGCTATGTCCACTCACACTGCAGTCTGACCACCATCAGTAAGGACACACACAGCTGCAGGCATCGCATCAGGGAGGACTCACACATCATAGTCTGCATTGGGCAGAGTAGAGCGGCATTGGACTGGGGTCAAAGTTCAAAGCTCTCCAGAACCAGGGTAAGTCACTCATGAACAAGGATAGTTCCAAATAACCCCTCTGTCTGTGCCATCATCCAAAAGATTTTAACTTACGGTCTGAACACGCTTCTTGAGTGGTTTATAGGAGTCTCATCTTACATTCTGTCTCCTAGGAAAGATAACACACATCTATGAATTTGGGTTAAGCCAGTGTTGAAATCTGCCTCTGAAATGCAGATATAGGATCAGTTACCTAAACTTAGAATTTTGAAGGCAAAATGCAGGGCATCATTCCATCATCAAGGGATCAGCCATGCCCATTACACACAGGCCTTTCCTTTGACTCAATGGTTGCCGTACATAAATTATCAAGAACCCAGCATCTGCTTTTGAAATAAACAAAAGTTTTGCCTAAAATGGAAAGGGCTGTGTTGTAAAATGCAATAGCTTCACTTTCTTGAATAATATTAGGCCACTTGACATCTTTAAAATAGTTGTGAAAAAGAACCTGTTATCCCATGAACACTTAGACCTATGGTTCCAAAACTGTGGGCTGCGCTCCCGCTATCGGATTCGACAGGGAGGGGTGCGGAGAGGTAGGGGGAGATGAAAAAAATGGAAACAACAACTTGATTTCACCTAGTTTTACCATTCTATCATAAAGACCACATGTGCAACTTCATTAAAAAAAAGTCTCAAGTGTTCTAATAACGAAAATACTATGTGCCTATTAAGTGCCCAGTAAAGTAAGAGGGGGCTATTCCAAGGTAACAGAGTGATGCTGAGACTCAGAATTTTCACTTTAAAATGTATGCCAAACAAACACCAATGATTAAAGTTAAACAAACCATACAACTCTACGCACAAGGATGACTTTTAACAATTTCCACAGAAATTTACGAAAACACATTTACTTGAAATACAGTGCAGATGCAAAGTTTGGTAATAAGTTAGGTTATCATTTCCAGCCTGTCTATGCATAACAGCTTTTACATGTTATGCTAGAATCGCTTAGTTTCCCCATCACAAAAAAAACAGCAAATGGCCACAAAGACACCAGCAAATGGCCACAAAGAGTAGAACCAGCTCACCTGCTTTTACACTATGATTTGACTATTAGATGTTCAATGTTTCTTTTGAAACAAATATTTAAAAAGGAAGTTTCACCATATTAAGATGAGAGTTCAGTTCACAAAACAGGGTTGACCTTAAAATGAGAGACAAACATAAATGAATCACATTAAATAATGTTCAGAAATGAATTTGTCAAAGCATTAAAAATAACTTTACAATTATGGTAAAAACTTGGGAGACATTTTGGGGTTAAAATCTTCCTAGAAGTCACAGAGGTGCACCTCTGTAACAAGGGTTATGTCAAAATGCAGAATATTGGCACTTTAGCAAGTCTTTATTCACATAACAAAATCAGACACACTGAATTCTCTATGTGGTATATATTTAAAGGGCACTTAATTTAATATAAGAGGTTTTTAAAATTAAATATTGGTGCACAATTTCTACTTAAAATATAAAAGGGACGCAAAACGCACCCATTTCATTGGAATGACCGCAATATACTGAAACGTTCTCTTACAATACATTTAAAACCTTACCTCTGTGGTGTAGCTAGCTCGCCCACTGTACTCTCATGGTCCGCGTATTTCCATGTATTTCATAGACTGTCTACTACGGGTGTGTTTAGAGCTGGTCCGGGTAAAATCCCGCCCACCTGTGAGTCTACTCAACTCAGGACAGAGTGAATAGACGGGTTGGTTTTTTAGAAACTAAACCAACGGGTGCGCAACTATGGGGACAAACAGATGGGGTTGGTTTAGATTATTAACAACATGTAAGCTATATTTGGTCTCCATTTTTTTTTTTAAACAAACACATTTGCACAATTACATGAAATCAGTCAAAACAAGCTATGGTATCAAGAACAAGATGAAACGAGCTACATACAATTCCCCACATGGGAGTTTTGACATTGTTGCTAGTAATCTGGCCATCCAGAAGATCAGCATCATGCTGTCCCATGGAAGCGCGCACATTATTTTCATGATGTCCACTAACCCATCTGTAGGAAAGGGCATTGGGAAACAACAGAGGAAAATATCGTTATTGTATTAATGCATGAAATTGTAGGCTTATGTCATGGTGCCAACACTAGTCATGCTTTGGGTCAAATAATTGCATGTCTTTTTATTGCATTTGTGTGCGCAATAGTGGTGGTGACAAACAGGCGCACCTATCTATTCAACAGCGTGTGGTGTGGGCAGACTGCCCTTTAGTGGTGGGTACTGAAAGTTCAAAGGCATCCGCATATACAGTAGCTTCGGTTTACTCCTAGTAGTCCAGCAGATAGGTGAAATAATTGTTACATTTTATGATACAACCATCAAACTTGGTACACTAATACTAAATACCTTGAGACATTTTAAAGATTAGCGGCAGTCTGGGAAGCCTGTCAGTCAACCATAAAATGTCTGGAATCCTGATTTCCTGTTAGAAAAAAAATAGGGTAAATATGGGTGTTCCCTGAAGTCAACTGATTGCAATGATATATATAATACCATATTCTGTTTTGTGTCAATTTTAAGAAATGTGACAGGAAACTGCCCTGTACACTTCACTTTGGGTAAAATCCCATAGGAATGCATTATGTCCAGCAGAGACGTTAACCCATGATGATGAGACCTTTCAGTCCTTACACAAAGTGAGTAAACTACTACATAAAGATGTCTAGCTATAGTGCCATTGCAGATGTAATAACCTATTATAGTCTAAAAGACCAGATTTCCAAAATGACCCCCAATCAGCTACATTGGTTTTAATTGGACAGGATTCACATGGCCATATCTCAAAAAAATAATTGGTACATACAGCCCAATGATGGCTTAAAATGTTTGAGGTGGCATGGAGAACACAATAAAATGACCCAAGTATGCCTTATGTATGTGTCCTTTAAACTTTATGCAGAAATGAGGAAGGTCTTCTTAATGTTTTGTACACTCAGTGTATAACGCAACTGCAAGACCAAAACCTCGTAATTTCCTATGGGATTTAAGGATGATTGTGCTGAATGGTCACATTTTTTTCCCTCATTATGCAGCCAAAATTAAACAGCGCACGCCATAAGATAAATGTGCTCTGATAGAAACAATACAGGTAGGCTAGTCTGTAGCTTGTTAATATAATCTGCTCTAAAATCCACTCAAATAGTATTTACTTACACAGGAAGGGTCTGGGCGTAGTGCCAAACTGCAGATAGTGAGTGTTTGTTCAATCAGTCACTTGCATGAACACAGAAATTGGTTCATAGAAAAGCACAAACATAACATTTTCATCTAAGTGCATATTCTCATGAAACTGAGTGAGATCAAATGGTTATGGTTGGCATTCAGATGCAGCTTGGACATTTCACCCATAAAATAAGAATTATCATTCACCATTGACAGATATGGTGGCCTATTTTGAAATGAGGTAGGCTTAAGTTTGGTGTTAGAGGGTATTAAAAATACAAACATTTATCAAAGTCAATGTGTGTAGGCATAAGCAGACATTGCAATTGGATGATGGGTTTTATGCATATAAAATTATATTCTTCAACAGGCTACGATGCAAACTTTGATTGAGAAATTGTGACGTAATTTTCTTTTTTTTGTGCTCCAGCACCCAATAAAAAATTGCACTACACCACTAAGTATAATAAGTTAAATCTGAAGTTGCACTATAGCTAGACATCTTTGTTTAGAGTTTGACTTACTTTGTGGAAAGGCTGAAAGGTCTCATCATAAAAGTATTTAGCTAAAATGGGTTACCTGACTCTCTGCTGGACATAATACATTCCTAATGGGATTTTACCTAAAGTGAAGTATACAGGGCAGGTTTCCTTTTTCCTAAAATTGACACAAAACAGAATATAATATTATATATCATTGATAGTCCCAGATGAGTTTTGTAATGGAGCCCTCTTTGTCTGGAGAAGGAAATGAACGGTTCCAGCGCTGTAGGAGCTGTATCTACTACGCTTTGTTTCGGGACAAACTGGATCAATCGGAGTTCCAATGCGCCAGTTGTTGCTTGCCGAGGATTATAGGATTGAAGTGGCTTCCTTGATCAAGCAGGTCGCCAGCCTACGTAAGAAACTAGGGAAAACGCAGAGTGGAACGTTTACCTTTTCTACACCGGTAGCTGGACAGCGTTTTGGCTTGTTGGATGCATCTCCACCTTGTCATTTGTCGTTGTCCGACTGGTCGGTGTTGCCCGGAGTTTGTTCACCAGGGGAGCCATCTCCTGCCTCTCCTCCCCTATCTGATAGCGGAGTCGAAGGAACACAGCAAGAGGAGTTCTCAAATTAACGATGGTCGCATGTCACGAGCCATGGAAGCCGAAGACAGCGCCTTCCTGTAAAGCAGGCTACACTCCCAACGAGAGGCACGGAGCAGATACAAACAACGAATAGTTTCACCGCCTTGGAGCCTGATCTTCCTGCACCTTCGTCGCTGGGGGTACCTGTGTCTGCAGCCGCTGTGCCTACTCTTTCCCCTACAATTTCGAAGTCGGCAACCTTCCGTCCCTGCTCTGGATCGACTGGGGTTTCTCCATCTGTCAGAGTTCTGCACCAGGCCCTGGGAGCTATGGGCTCAAGTTTTCCTTCCTCTCGCCCGTCCTTAAAAGGGTTCTCCGAATCCTGTGAAGCGTGGGAGTGGGCGGATTTCCTCGTCCTTCTCAATAGCCGTGATTTTGGGCAGCTCCATGGTAAGAAATGTGACTGTTCCTGGTGCAAAAACAATGTCCTATCCCAGAGCTTGAGTAAATTACATTACCAAGCAGCTCCCGAATGTTCTACGCCAGGAAATGGAAATGGCAGCTCTGAACAGTTGAAACTGGATATTTAAAGAGCTGATTGATTCTCTGCTAGACACTAATAAAATAACCATCATATCTGACCCTGTGCCCTCTCTGTATCGTGGCATTAAATGCTTTAGCAGGATTCTTTCTCTTCACAACTGGCTACGTGATTAATGCAGCTCAATGGGTGTAACTTTTGTTGACAATTGCGATACCTTTTGGAAACAAAATACGTTTTATAAGGAGGATGGGATCCACCTGAATAATTTGGGTTCCTGGATCCTTTCACAGCATTATAAGGCTGCTTTGAGACAATTACTTATAAATGACCCAAGCCAGGCTCAGTTAATCCCTGCCATTGTGTCACTGAGTTGTCATAATGCTTCAGCAAATGTACATTATACCAGGGGCGCTGGTAGACACAATGTAAGTAACCTAATGTATGTCCCTCTAACTGTCCTGAATGCCTCTGCTGATCCTACAGCTATTGTATGCAGTAATCATGTGCCTATGAACCAGTGTTATAATGTTAGTACTGAGTCGGTGTGCCCTAGTAGGATGTCCACTGTGTGCAGCTCACCCTGCACTAACATAACTAACATGAGCATGTCTACTTCTGCTAAGCTTCCCGGTAAAGCAACGAAAACAAATAAAGCATCCCAGAAAAGTGCAAAAAATGGCCCACGTTAACATATGTAGCTTAAGAAACAAGGTTCATGAAATTAATAACTTGCTCGTAACAGATGACAATCTCTGAAACTCACTTAGAATATACCTTTGATGATACAGTGGTAGCAATACATGGTTATAACATCTACAGAAAAGACAGAAATGCCAATGGTGGAGGTGTTGGAGGTGGAAGTGTCGCTATATTCAGAATCACATTCCTGTAAAGCTTAGAGAGGATCTCATGTTAAATACTGTTGAAGTAATATGGCTACAGATTCATTTGCCTCACCTAAAGCCCATTCTTGTGGGAAGCTGCTATAGACCACCAAGTGCTAACAGTCAGTATCTGGATAACGTGTGAAATGCTTGATAATGTATGTGATATCAACAGAGAGGTACATTTTCTGGGTGATTTAAATATCGACTGGCTTTCATCAAGCTGCCCACTCAAGAAAAAGCTTCAAACTGTAACCAGTGCCTGCAACCTTGTTCAGGTTATCAGTCAACCTACCAGGGTAGTTACAAACAGCACAGGAATGAAATCATCAACATGTATTGATCACATCTTTACTAATTCTGCAGAAATTTGCTTGAAAGCAGTATCCAGATACATCAGATATAGTGATCACAATATAGTAGCCATGTCTAGGAAAACCAAAGTTCCAAAGGCTGGGCCTAATATAGTGTATAAGTGGTCATACAACAAGTTTTGTAGTGATTCTAATGTTATTGATGTAAATAATATTTGTTGGTCTGTGGAGTGTAATGCGGAGCAACCAGACGCTGCACTTGACACATTTATGAAATTGCTTATTCCAGTTACTAATAAGCATGCACCCATTAAGAAAATAACTGTAAAAACTGTTAAATCCCTGTGGATTGAAATTGTATGGTTGATAGGGATGAGGCAAAAGGAATGGCAACAGAACAGACTATGGTAGGCACACAGTACTACATAGAGCCATGACTACATGGAACTCTATTCCACTTCAGGTAACTGATTCAAGCAGTAGAATCAGATTTCAAAAACAGATAGAAATACACCATATGGAACAGCGTGGACTGTTAAGAGACGCTAGCACACGCACTCTACACACATGTACATTGTGGTATTTGTTGTATGGTGGTATCGTGCATTTTGTATTGTGGATATGTAGTGGTGTAGCGATGTTATATGATGT